TCTGAGTTGACATCTAGATGATGAGACCAGGAAAATAAATTAAGTCTGTTTTTCTTTTTCTGAGTGACTTTTAATAGTCATTTCAACCATTCACAATTATTCTTTATTTAGAGGCTTCTAATAATTTTAATGTTTCTGATATGATCAATTCTATTAGTTCACAAATCCCCTTCCACCAAACCAACTCCTATAAAACTTTATCACAAACATTATCTGCAATCAGATTATACTTTGAACAAGAGAAATAACGTATTATTCTTTTAAACAGTCTTATGGTTCCAATTTTATACTTTTTGAATTTTTTTCTGAAAGCCAACACTAAGTGTGCAATAATGATGATGGTTATAATATTTCTTATGTATTTTTATGTGCTTCGTGATAACTCTGAAGTCAGTAATACTATTATCTTCACTTTATACATTAAGAAACTAAGGCACAGAAAGGTTATGCAGGTTCCCCAAGATTTCCAGCCAGTAAGTAGAGTACCATGGTTATAGAGAACTTCCTTTTAGCCATGACACCACACCACCCAAATAAAGCCCAGTAAGTGAAATATGTTTTCTATTTTTTTCTAATTTAGAGTTCCTAAACTTATGTGAATATTGTCATCTTAAAGTTTACCAAATTAAAATCATAAACAGGACACTAATATGACCCTTGCCATTTTGAGGTTTGAATTTGTGTAACAAATCTTAGAGACTGTTACCATGTCCCCCTGGGCACTCTATGAACAATGCCAATAACAGTTTTCACATAAATATTGATGTATGGACCAAACATCCAGGCTTTCCTCAGGTATGGTTACAGAATACAAAATAAATGTGCTTTTTCATAAACATTTGGAAAATTCTAGGTAACCAGTCTATAATAACGTGTTCTAATAATCCTGTGTTGACTGTTAGCTTCCAAATTCTCACAAGGAACATGTTTGACAATTTTTCAGGAGTTACTCGCTTATTCATTAATTAAATTACTGGTTCTCATTCTACTTTTTCTATTTCAAAACATCACGGAGCATTTTTTTGCTTCCAGGATTCTGGTACCTGTCCCTCAATTCTCCAAAAATCTTCCAAAGTTATAGACAGGGACATTGGGATTTCAGTTTCAAGGTTTTTAGAAGCTAACCATCTTGAAAAAGATATGAATTGCCATGTTTCCATTCTAATACAAAGGAGGAAAAGTCGGATTCAGTCACCCAAACCAATATTTGAGAAAGAGTCTTCTTTTACTCAAATATGTATGTATATCAGAAAAATCCCCTGTGAAATTTGGGGGCAGCTGGGGCAACGTTTGGATTCACCACACAAACATATTCAGTGATAGCAGGAACTACAGGTGAAATGCAAGGTTTCTGCTTAAATAGGGTCCCACATTAAATATTCAAAACACTGAGCTGGGAGAGTAGGAGATCATAGCAGACATGTACTCAGATCATTGAGTATATATAGTAACCAATTAATTTGACCTCTAAACCTAATTTCAATCAAGATTTATATAAAGGTATATATAATGAATGTTACTTTATTTTCCAAAGCTTTCAAAGAAGTAAAACATTCTTTGACATCTCTTAGAGAAATATTTTCATGGTATAAAATTTCAGGATGGTGTCTTTTAATCATCTCATCAAATCTCTAGCTGACCAGACCCATGTACTAGACAAAATTCACATGTTCCTCTACAAAAAACTAATCAGAGTAGTTTTTTCCGAAGTACTTATTTCAGTGTCCTCTGTTCCTCTAAAGAGAGTGCTATTGTGTAATCTTTGGTTTTACAGGGACATTTTCAGATCTACTCTATAGTTTTCATACTGAAGAGCCTGACAGGAAATCTGTAAGCAACTCAGTGCTTAAGACGTATAGATTAATTCAAAGCACCAAACCTTTCAGAGTTGTACGCTCTTTGGTGGAAAGGATTTTTAAACACTGGACTTAATGTCAAAGTAGCACACTGCCCACTCTTAGGAAGCATCTCAATATTTACACAATGTGTTTTCAGAAGTGCAGGGAAAATGAAGGCAGTGAGGGAAGTCACGTTGGGCAAGAAAACAATGGTGTCCGAACTGGTGAGTTATGGAAGAGGAGAGCAAGAGAGAGAAGGGGCTATAATGGGGGACCAATGTGTTAAATGTGATGGACTGAAATAGGGGAGGAGAGAGACATAAGGAGGCTTACAATGAAAAGAAGTAGACTGAAACAGACATTCCTCAGGGAAAAAAAAAAGAATGAAAAGAGGAAACAACATGTTTCAGACAAGAGATTGTGGGCCAGGAAGGGACACGAGAATGTGGCACATGAATAAAGCCAATGGCTGGGGTGACATTTTTATTTTTCTAATTTATGTTTCTGATTATGCAAAATCCCTTAAAATTAGGCATAAAAGTATAAGCAGACATACTTTTACCAGGAAGCCTTGCAGCCTAAGCCTTGCAGCCTTAGCTCTTACTCAGAGTATTTCTCGGGATTCCAGTACACACTCATCCAGCCTCCACTGACTTCAGTCAGATGCTCCAGGGCCTTCATTAGACCAGTATTCATCAGCGCTTTTCCCACGTAAGCCCAAGTGTAGCAGCTCCCAGGCTCCCAGGCTGGAACAGGCCAGGCTCCAAGAATGTGAGCCTCCATACAACCTGATGTCACCCTACTACAGTTCTCTACGAACTCACATTAGCAGAAGGTCAAAAACTCTGCGGCTCCATAATAATCTATGCACTTACTACCCTAGTTAGTGAAATCTCCTTCTTAGCAGGAAATATCTATCCTCTATAAGTCAATTATTTAGTTGCTAGTGATTATTCCTGAGGATCTTGTCCATATGAAAAAGTGTACAAATCACTGAAAAATAAACCACTCAGATGGGAGCACACAAAAGAGTGATTCTTGCTGCCTTGTGGCAGTACAGTATTGTGGTTAGGCCGTCAGAGATCCATACCCTGACCCCGCCCATTACAACCTATGGGGCCTGGGGAAGGCACTGAACCTCTCTCAGAACAGATCCTCATCTGTGAGATGGAGAAATAACAAATCTTCCTTCACAGTGTAACTACCCAGTAGTTAATAATGTTCAAAAACATTGGAATTAGAATGGTATTCTTCATCAGTCTGTGCTGAGAATCTAATTACCCAACAAAAAAAATCTTTCTCAAAGAGCATAGTTATTTTGAGGTCCACATTTTACATGGGAACATTTAAGGAATCTTTGGGATTTTTAATGCTAGAATCAGTCCATTGGAGTTGCTCAGATCAGCCCCACCCCTTCAGCAAGACGGGAACCAGCCAGAATAAATAGTCACAGCTGTGCAAGGGCAGGGTGGAAGCCACGATAACAGTGGCTCCTTTTTCTCTCATATTAGCAGGAAATGCAGGCCCAGTCCTAGCTGTACTTTTAGAAGGCTGTGCAAAACTACTGCTTTGCTCTTAACCAAGGAAACATGGATACTTTCTGACAGTTTTTCTTGGGGATGTAAGACATTACTATGGAACAGTATAGCAGCAAGAATTCCCATCTCTCACAAGGCTTCCTCATTAAACATTCTCTCCATCAAATAGTGTGCTGTGGTAGCAAAGCTTTCCCTTCATGTGCTGAGTTTATTTAGTAGAGGAGCTTCAGGAAAATCCCAGTGCTTGGAACAATCCAATAAATTCTTCTGAAATACTTAACACAAATTGCCACGTGGTAAAGAGCTTAACTCTACCCTACAACAAACTTATTAACCATGTTAAAAATTAGCAATACTTTTTCCCACAGATTCTATGGCTACTTCTCTTGTTACTACTAAATTTGAAAGTAAAATAATTAATTGAAAGCTAGATTACCATTCTTCAAGCAGAAACCAAATATAAAATTAAAAATAATTAGCTGAAAGATCTCTATCCCCACAGGCTACCTGAGTCCAGGACCACTAATATTACCCAAATTTTCAGGTTCAAGAAAAAACAAGAGCTGACAGTAGTGATGGAGAGTAGCCACTAAGACAAAGGCAGAGGACTTTAACTGACATGATCTGGAAGGGAGCAAGGCAGAATTTTCTGGAAGCAAATGGCTTGATTTGAGAAGTACAGACCAGTATAACATCCTAGACCTCCAAGTTGTCATTCCAGCATTCCAAACCTGTGTTTCATGAAAAACAAGAGCTAGAATGTGTGAAGAATGTGAAAGTCACAGACTGGCCACTGTTTGTGATTATTTGTGGTATAGGCAGTTTCTAAAAGGAAACAGAATCCCAAACTCACTCTTGGTCGGTAAGTACTTGGAAGACAAAAATTGCTTTCTGATTTCTTTCTCTCTTCTTTTTCAATTACAATTTACATTCAACTTATTTTTCCTCTAAATCACTTTTCAGTTATATTTTCAGAGCCTTTGGCTTTTAAAGAGTGACTTTTAAGTTGATGGATTTTCATTCATTCATAAAAGTAAGCAGGCAAAGGTGCAAGGTATTCCCAAAATCTTTCAAGAAGCAGTACCTGGATGTTTGGATGCCAAGTGCAATCTCCTCTAAAATTTACATTGAAAACATGCCATTTAGGTTTAGGTTAGCTCAAAAAAGAAAGAGTTTATACAAAGGTTAAGAATGTCCATTTACCATTTCCTTGTTTCTCAGTAAGTTTCTTAGGAAGAAAAATGACAAATGGTACAAACTGATTTCATATGTTCCAGGCTCACTCCTCTTTACCAGAGGAAAGCAGAGCCATCAGCACATCTGGAATCAACCCAGGAGGAGACAGGCTAGTTGTGCAAAATTTTTTTTGGAAAGTAGGAACATAGACAAGGACAGTCATATGTGAGGGCCCAGTTGCACATGGCCACCCGAGCCGCACACGCCAACCTGCAGTGGCTTAGATGCCAAGGTTTCCTTCCATTGGGAAAAGATAATCCTACACATGGTAAATGGAGTTCATACATTAAAGCCAATATAAACACTAATGTTTTGTCTTCTGACAGCATATGAATGTGCAAGCATTAAGTTATAGGAGAAAAGGGGCTAATTTTAGATTTGTTCCTAGCCCTCTCCATGTGAATGGTGTCGCTGTGAGCCCAGCAATGAAGTTCACTGTGTTGTAGCAGACTGCGCAGTTCCTGAGTGTGTCAACCCAGTCTATGAACCAGAACAATGTTGTCCTGTCTGCAAAAATGGTAAGACCATATTGCATTAGCTTTCAAAAAGGGGTTAGTGCAAAATACAACTATTTCACCACTGCACACCATTCAATGCAAGAGCCCTCTAATCTAAGATCTGCCTGTGGTTTTTCAATATGGGCATGGCCAACTTATATTTTTATCCCATCCTAAAGTGAAAACAAACCAGCAATGGGTGAATCATGAAGCTTTCCAGTGGGGAACTAAATTTCTTATAAGCTGATTTTGTTGTGATGCCTATTATTTATTATTGATTTATAAGGACGATATTGGAAAGAATAAGTACCATCTTTTGGTAGTGACTGAATTTCTCTCTTGTGGAGGCTATGAAGCAGTTTATGTCATTTCATTTCATAGCACACAGCCTAGAATCAAGAGGATAAATGCCAGGTATTTTGGGGGCGGGGGTGGCGGGCAGGCAGGCATATATAAGACTTTAGGTTTAAAGTTATCAAAGAAATACAAAATTTAATTATTAATGCACTTCAGTTGAAGTAAGAAAAGTGTAGAAAGTTTAGGACTTTTATTCTAGGTTCTTATTACAAAGGAATCTTGCTCTTCTAGTAATTTTGCTATAGAGGGGAACCTGCTTCATAAGATTATGGGTTTCTTTTCGGCCCCCATGGAATGGAGAGATAGAAATGACTACAGAACGTTAATCACCCCAAATCAAGGTGATGCTTCAGAAAAGACACTGAAATGCCATAAATCCAGAATAGCATATCAGCAGAGCCAATATTATACTCTTCCTACTAGTTATATGTTACCAAGAAATGAAGCTTTGCTAGGTAGCACTCCACCAATATCCCTTTTTGCATTAATATCTGCTTGGAAAAGTGGTGCTAGCTCTTAATTAAGCTGAGGTCACTCAAGTGCTGAATCCCTATGCCCTTTCTTGAGTGAGCACTGTTCATCCTCCTCTATTACACTTTTTTTGGCCTAAATTTGGCATGATGTTAGCTCACATATTAATCTTTTACTTTGCAGAATTATAATTAGTAAAGAGAGGTATCAGGTTACTTAGTTCAAGAAAACTCAAAAGCAACTCTGATTGTTTTAATAATTTTACATTTTGGTATCTTCCCAAAGGACTTATAAAACATTCTCTAACATTTTTTCCAGGCAGAGTTTTTACTCTTTCCGATCATACAAACACACTGCGTTGAATATGGGTCTGCTTACGTGCCTTCTCTTTTTCTTCTTCTCCCTCTCACCCAACTAGCCTGTGCCATGGTGGCCATCGTTCTGACTCAGAGTGGGGAAATAAATGTCCTCCCGAAGTTCTAATCTAACTAATATAAGCAAAAAAGTAAAATTTGAGACTCTATGTTTTTAAAATGATTTTGGAAGAAACTGGAAAAGATACAGGGAGAACCATAAGGTGGTTTAATGGTTGAAGAATAGGACCTATGAGGACAGGCTGAAGGAGTTAGCATAATTTGTCCTGGAGAAGAGAAGGCTCAAGGGAAACCTAACTGTCACAAAGCATATGAATGGTTAGTCTAAAGTGGAAGGGGACCTGTTATTTTTCATTTTCTCCAAGGACAGAAGGAAGAAAAAATCAGCTACCTCATCAATCTTTAAAATTAGGATTGACATGGCTTTGACTGAAGACTGTTATTTTTTTTTTCCTAGAAGCAACTGTCTAAACAGGTCCTTGAGGATCCTCTCTTCCCTTAGTGGCCCCGGTTGGCTTTCACATTTAGAGTAAACAAAAATTATGCTTACAGTTAAAAACTCTTGTCTGGACATACTCAGAATACTCACAGAATTAAAGCGTATAAGACCATATATTTAAAATAGAGGTTTACACATGTGTCTACCACACCATGCTAGCTACCCCACACCAAAGCCTATAATATATCCAGAAATAATTTCTGTGTCAAATGTTAAGTAGGCCACTACAAGCTAGTCATGTTTAATTTAATGTCACTTAAGATTATCCTATTTCTCTCTATCACGTGCCAGAGTAGGAATCTGTCTTCAAATGAAACCCTCTTTGTATAAAAACATATAATGAATGGACTTCATTGTTCAATTAACTAGTTAATTAATTAGTAACCCATTGATATTCCTGAAGAACATACAGGGTCTAGCAGAAGTAACACCTGCTCGAGTGTGGTTTGTAGGGTACTAATATGGGTGTAATAATTTATAGTTTTAATTTGAACATTTCACCTAAAATGTCATGGTGTTCTTGAGTGTGATATTGTTATGCTACAAAATTACATGCTTATGATTTTGTAATAAAATGTTTTATAATTAAAAGGGGGGTTATTTGTGCCAGACCCTGTATGTTGCGAGAACAAAATATATTAGTAAAGTTTTCCAAATTTTTATTCACTAAGCAGAGCAAAATGACCACTTTCATTCCCTTTGGCCCTTTCCAAGGAATTACTTTTTAAAGTAAGACACATGGACCTAAATTAAAAGTAGGAGGAATACTAGCTCTTATTGTACTATAACATCATGACATTATTCTTTATTATTATATACCAATAATTAATCACTTGTGCTCAAAAGTAAAGTATAATCATTGTCAAAGAAGAACATATTAAGGACCACTAGAGAATCTTTATGACCACCAGTGTTACCACTATTTTTATTGAGACAAGAGACTGAGTCCAAGTCTTGCTTGCCTCATTGGAAGCCTAGCCCAGTAAACAGAAACAGATGACCCATTTATAGAAAGGGGGGGGGGATGCATGTTTATTATAAGAAAATATAACTAGAACAATTTCCTAAATTTCTAACACATGATAAGCCCATCTCATTCTGTATGACAAGATTAATTAGCCCATTATAATGTAAACTATTTTCAAAGTATGCTATTATTTTCTTATATCTTAAAAAAAGGTAAAAATCTACCCAGTGGGTCCAGTGTAGAGGCACTAGATCTTAATTTGTAAACAGTCTTGTAACATTTTCTACAATTTAAAAATCTTCATAAATATTGAAAATTTTCAGTTTGCATAAATGCTGATTATCTTGGCTGCCAAATGCTTTCCTTTTGCATACTAAGATTTTTCTGCCTTCCTGAATTATAATATATGAAGAGCAGGAGGCATTAAAGATATAAAAGTTTAAAGCAATACAATCTACCACGCCTAATATTAAATCTCAGTATTTGGCTAATAACAAAGTCTTCTCAGATTATTTAAGAGCAAACAAAGCAAAGAAGTATAATGACATGTGCAGTTTTCCAGAAAGCAGTAGCTTGCAAATGCAAATGTGATGATTTTCTCTAGATACAAGTATTTTTAAAAATATTATAAAGTGTAAGGTAATATGTTCCCTAAACAATGATAGCTCATCTTTATTGTCGATAATACAATCTTAAAAATACATTTAAAGACATATACTTCTAAAATTTTTCTGTAAGTATGTTTTAAAAAAAAGAAAGGAAAGAAAAAATTTAATTTCCTGGTCTCAATGATTACCTCAAGCAAGATTTTCAATGGTTATCACTGAATATAGCCAAGCCATAAAATATACTCCATTAAGTTAAAGTTAGTTTAGCACCAAATAAAGACTCAATTTAGTCTGAATAAAACAGAAACATTAAGGAAAGGTGTGAATGGCACACACAAACCAGGAGGAGCAAGAGAACAGTAATTATCTATTTGGGAGGAATCGGGGGGTTAATATAGGAATTTATTGTTTTAAAATTTTTATTAAGCATTTGCTTCTCCCTCTTCTATATATCTGAAAGGGCTACTAATTCAAATCCCTCCTGAACAATATGACATTTCCAGACTGTTTTTCTTTTCCCAAAATGGCATTACTTTGACCTATCTTTCAGCCCCAGTCCTTTCCATGTGAATTAATGAATACTCTTTATGGGTTTTGTTGCTGTTTTTATAATATGAAAAAATGGGTTAGCACAGTATCTGCTTGAAGAAAACATGCTACATTGGAGTGTCTCATAAATATTTCAAATATTTGGTAATTTATCATACTTTTGACTAGTAAAATAGATGATATTAAGGCATCCAAATGACTAACTGCATTTTTTTACATTTCATCACTCAGTATGTCAGTGAGCTCTATGTTTTGCTGGGATATATAGTCAGTCAGTTTTCATGGTTCTGAAGGAAAAGTCTCTTCATGAAAAATTGGAATAGACAGGAAACACCCAGAAAATCCTCTACACACGTGAAGTCAGGCATTTTCATATCCTTTCTAACTAAACTAAAGTTGTCATAAGCCCTGTTTAAATATTTAATTCCATATCCCTACTCTCTTCTAGTTTAGTAGTGAAACAAATAAAGCAGGAAACAGATTAGCCAAAAGGGCAAATGGAAAGCAGGCAATAAAGGTGGGGCAGCTCACAAACGAGAGAGCACGCAGTGCCTTCTAGAGGCACTTGGGAGAAAATGTTCGACAAGCATAATTGCTAATATCCCTAATACATAAAGTGTTCCTTGAAATAACAGAAAAACAATTCCACAGGGAGGAAGGAAATGAGAAAAGGGAATATAAAGAAAATTCACAGAAGAAAACCAAATGCATCATAAACATATGACTATTGGCTTCACCTCACAAGGGATCAAGAAGATAAGAAGTTAAAGGGATAACAGTATCGTGTTGATAATAATTTGAGAATGACATCAAATTAAGCAAAAGTATTATGGGTGGAGAATGTTGGAACAACTTTTAAGAAGGTTATTTCTACCACAAGTTTCATGTAACTTAAAGTCAGAAATTCCACCTCCTATACTTTGCCCCACATTCATGTCCTAAGAGGGAAAAGGTGAGAGAAAATATAGTAGTTCTTCAATGGTGTAACCAAATATAGTCCATCCTTTAAAAAGAGCTTACTGACATTTTTTATTGCTGTGTAAAATAAGCAAAGAGTGTAAACTACATATTATTTTATACCCAATATTATAATGTGTCCTATCTATAATACATACATTTTAAGCGATATATTTAAAATATTTTTTATTGTTAACTGATATCATTTTAAATAACTATTAAGTTCGTATGTACATAGG